AACTCCTGTATCAACAAGAAGCCCCTAGTCATGCTTCTCTATAGGGACAGCATCATTTGACTATAAACATTCACTTGAAACAAGCAAGCAAGACCCACTGACCAGGCAGTGCTGGGCCTGCAGTGGCTTCTACACTTTTCCTCATACGCCAGGACTTCCTCCCATTAGAGTTACATACCAGCTTGCCTGAAGGCCACATGTCACCATGGCTAACTATGTAGCTGAAACTTAAGGATGTGCAGCTCAAAACAAATAACATATTTATAAATAATAGTTTTTCTTGAAAAAGTAATTATTGTCCTGAGTCCTCCAACAAAATTAAAACTGCAAACTATAGACTATGAAAGTCACTAAAGAAATCTTAGCCATTCTATCTATGCTCAATCATATGCTCACTCCAGCAAGCATTATAGCAAACTGTGTTGAAAAGAAGAAATATTTCTCTGGGAATTTTTGGAAGACAGCATAGTTTAGTTTAAATTAGTGCTTCCTGGAGTGATTTTTTTTAAATCCTCTTTTAACAACCTCTCCACACTTTAGATACTATAAATCACTCAAAGAACTCACAGTAACCACTTGGCACCCAAACTGAGCCTGCTGGAGAGGAACAATTCCCAGCAATCTATGACAATGGCAGTTGTGATCAAAACCATCAGGGCTCATTTTGGTTTTTTCTCTCTCTTACGAGTAATTCACAAATTTATATTAGTACTCAAAATGTATCAGCTCAATTCTCTCATTATTTTTAAACTAATTGGAAAATCAATTGTCTCTGTTGGTGGCTATGGGTTTATTTTTTGAAAGCTCATTGATAAGAAATTGGAAGTAAGAGTAGCTCAACTAATATTCTTTCAGTAATTTAACAAACTGACTTGGTTGACTGACCTAACCAACATTTATTTAACATCCTTAACCATGTTCAAAAGGCTAAGAAAAGCAATAACAAGCAATGAGGACTCTTGAGGAGTTTACATTCTAGTAGTGGGTTGACAGAAATTACTTATTTTTTTTTTCAGGGGAGAGCGAGAACACAGTCCCCCACTACCACAAACTACGCAGTCGAGTTTCCCATATTTGAGGAAATCGCAGGGGTCAGCACACCCGGAGTGCAATGGATAAGCCTCCCCCTGGGAAAACCACCTTCGTGATCATGGTATCTCCCCTGCCGGGTTAAGTATGAAATTACTTATTCTGACTTTGTATGAAAGACAATACGGGAGTTTCTCCTAAGGTAATCACGTGCCACCAAGGGGATGTGGAGAGCTGAAAGCCAGCCCTGACCTCAATGGTATCCCCAGCTGGCACCCTTTCCTCCTCACTCTCACCCCCACCCCCCAAGATTCTTTCTCTTCAATTAGAAGGTACAGGTTGCTCAACACCTGACCCTGACCATAAGCCACAGATTAGGGTCTATCAGTAAGCTTTAACATAAAGTCACTTTGTGTGGCGGTAAATCTTTTAGGTTATCTCTTGGTAACATTCAATCCAAGTATAGCAAATGAGCAAAATCCTACTGGGAGTTCGTAAAATCACTCACCCTGTCTCTGATGTCTGCCCACCTCAGCCCTCTAACCCTCCAATAGGCAATGAATCCATCCCATCTTCTTGTCCTTTGTTGAATGCAGTTTTTTTTTTTTTTAAAGCACCAGACCATCTGGCCAAGATCTATGGCCCACCATAAACACCAATTGGTGTGGTCAAGGGGTGTCCCTGGTGAGCAAAATAAGGGGTGAATGAGGCGGTAAACCTGCAAAAGAACACTCTTGGGGAGGGGAACAAGGAATCAGGACGGGGTGATTTCCCCAAGATTAGACTGGTTATCAGCCTGAAAAATAAACACTGGTCAAAGAGGTTCTGCTCCTCCATGAACTCCACCTAAGGACCCCTGAACATGCCCAGGAGTCAAGGCAGTTTAGAGGAATGATTAAGGACACAGGTTCTAGACTCGAACTGTCTCGCTTCAAATCCTGGCTCACACTTCATGGCAACTTGTCTGACTCAATTTTCTCATCTATAACTGGAAGATAACAATAGCACTTGCCTCAAGGACTAATAGGAGAATAAAACAAAATCACAGTGAAAGAGCTTAGCAGTGGCTAGCACACAGAGTAAATACTGTGTGCTAGTATCCCTACTAAACAGAGTAAATACTGTATGTGCTAGTATCCCTACTATGTTCAGGGATCAGTGTAGTGTTAAATGCCAACACTACACCACTATTTGGCTGGACCCTAACTTGGGGCCCACAAACATCCCTATGAAGTAGATGGATGGTATTATCTTCATTTTAGAGTTTAAAAATGGAGGTTTATGGAGGGATTCAGAAACTCATCTAAACTTAGTTAATAAGAGGTGGAGCAATAAAAGCTTCGATCGTGTCCCAGCAAAGTTTGCATTATGTCATCTTCCTCCAAAAGCTTGAATATATTTTAAAATAATGGTGCAGTATTCTGGCATCACTACTTGTTGAATGAAATTATGTTCTTGTAAAATCCCCCACCTTCCCACAACTAAATCAGTATAATTATCTATAAAATCAGAAATACTTGACAAATTCTGATAGACTATCAGAAACACAAAATTCTTTTTCTTAACAGAATAACATAACAAATGACTGGGCAAATCATCCTGACCATTCTAATTAAATGGCTTTAATAGTTCAAAAGTACTGTAGACCCATAGTATATCAAGCCATTTTTCTTTCAGGATTTGTAATTTGATCCTGCAGAAGAATCCACACACCACACACTCCTATTGGCCTATGTAATATCTTTCTTTCCATAGGTTTCATAAGTGTGTATCAAAGTTGACAAAAGTTAACAGTTACTACAAATACCCTCCCTCATTGTGGCTTAAGCTATTATATTTAGGAAGACTTAAATTTCCTAAAGTCACTTAATTTCCCTGAAAACAAAATCAAATTTAAACTGAATATATCATGGCGACTCTGATCTCAGAGTATCTTTTAAAACTCTAAAACTGAGATCTAGAAATATTTATAATTAGTCAAATTTATAGTTCCAAATACTTAAAGACCTAACAGCTTAAAGGAAAACTGAAGTAATTAATAATAAGGCACTTTACTCAAAACTATTTGTCCCCATCAAATGAACTGGTTACCCAGTTTCCTGAAAACAGAATTCACAATAATTGCTAATCCATTACGAGTTTAAAATAAAGGACATGCTTGACCTGTGAAAGAGGTAGTGACATGGATAAGCCAAATCTCATAATTTTACTTCACTTTCCATCAGCTTGACCCAGGCATACATATTTTTGTAATCCTTTTTGGTAAGCACGAAAGAGGATATACTATACATAATAAAACATGTAAACTTAGCAGAAGAGAACCCAATATGCCTAAATATTTCAAGAATTTATTGCAATTTCAATAACCTGAAACACCAAGTATCAGAAAGCGGAAAGAATTACCATGCAACTGTAAAAGTCAAATATTTATACAGGTGTCTTAAAAGCCACTGTTGGGTGTACACCATCAGCACTGACATTTACTATCTGTTAAGTAGTTTCAAAGTGCAATGGCATAAGTCAAATAACTGGCTTGGAGTGTGAAGTTTATGACAACAACTAGTATGTCTGGAGAGGCTGTGAAGGTGTGATGCTTGTCATAACTTTCATCAGGTCAGCAACAGGCTGCCAGGCTGTGGCAAGACAGAACCCTCCGCACAGGTGCCTTTTTAGGAGGGAAACCTAAACCCATACCGTCATGGATAATTGAACAAGGACTGTTCCATAAATTTATAATGTCATTTATGACTTTCTTGTAACTGCTTTTTAATAGCTTTCAATTTTAGGACAAAAGTAACAGAATATAAAACAGGAAACTGTTTCAGCTTCAAATTGAGAAAAAGGGGAATGTTTAATAGAAGCACCTAAAAAAGGTTATAAATCCCTAAGGCCACATTCCATAAACAGCTGCAAAGAATTTTCAGAAATGACAAAAAATCCACTTGTGGGAGTTATCCCTGATGATATATTATTTAAGTTTACAATTAGGAATACCTCCTATTATTCTTATAATAATTCTAACAAATGTTCCTTTTAAGGGTAAAAAGAAAGATGGGATAGAGGTACATTTGTGAACCTTCAGCTAAACTTCAGCTCCTGAATTTCAGAGACAATTTTGTTATGTTTCTCCTCTTCATCTCCAGGCGGGAATAAAGTGTGTGTGTGTTGAGAACTAAAAGAAACAAACGAGGCTAAGCTCAAGTCAGAGTTCCTCAATACCCAATTCATTTCACCACTTCTTACTTCCAAACAGAATCTGCCTGCGTTCAGGATCTGCGAGTCAGTTCAAGTTTTCAGGTGAGGACTAACAATAGGTAGTAAAACCTCAAAACAAGCGTTTCTAAAATCTGAGGGGCAAAGCCAGTTACACCCGCTCCCGGGGCCCAGCGCTCCCTTCCCTGCTCGGGACCCCCGGCCCGGCTGGGGCGCTCCGGTCGAGAACGTGCGGTCGAGACTTGGAAGCCAAGGACAGCCTGGGAGATGCCACAGGTGGCCGGGGCGGCTGGTTCCCCACCTTGCGCAGGCCTGCGAGGCCCAGCCCATCCACGCCTCCCAGAGGCCGAACGTGCCCTCCAGCCTCCATTTGGCCAACTTTGGGAGGCGGCGAGCCTGGGGCAGGGCCCAGGTGGCCCCTCTAGGTCCGTTAACCGGACGTGGCGCGCCAGTCCGGGCACCGGTTCCACCTTCCCTCGGCGCCGGGAGCGTCCGCAAGTCCCGCAGGGGCGTGGGGAAGGGGTGGGCAGAGGGGCCCTGGGAGGGGCGGCTCCAACGGGCCCCTCCGTGGCGCCTCGCCGGCGGGCGCTGCCCCGCCCAGGGCGGACGGCCCCGCGCCTCCGTCCCGGACCCCTCGGGCGCCCCGGGGGCGGCTACGCCCCACGCCCCCAACGCCGCGGGCGTCGCCGCCCGGCCGGGTCTCCCGGACAACAGCCGCCGCCGCGCGTCCCAGGCGGGTCCCGCGGCCCGGCGCCCACCTGTCCCGGGGGTCGATCCAGCTGGTCCTCCTGGTGTTGTGGTCGATGTAGAAGACCTTGCCGTCGTAGTCCCTGGCCTCCTCCCAGCCCCGGGGTAGCGGCAGCTGACCGCTCCCGGCCCTCCTAGGCATGGTCGGCGGCCTCGCCGGCGAGCGGCGCCTCCATAGGGACCGGGCGCGGGACGCGGGACGCGGCGGGAACGCGGCTGCCCGGCCCGGCCGCTGCCCCTGACGCGGCGCCGGAGAGGGGCCGCGGGGCGCGGCGGGACCGCGCGCGGGAGGCGCCTCAGGAAGCCCTGCTCTCGGCCCCGCCGGGGCTCAGTCCACCATGTCTGCGTCGGAGCAGGCGGTCGAACCCTCCTCCTCCTCCTCGCCGCCGCCGCCGCTGCCTCCGCCTCTTCCTCCTCCTCCCCGGCCCCCTGTGGCCGCCGAGGGTCGCGGCGCGCAGGCTGCCCGTGCCGCCGCCGTCTGGGCTCGGATCCGGGAAGCTCGGCGGAGCGGCGGCCGCGGCGGCGACGGGCCTCCTCATTTGCATGCGATTAGCATGCGCCCCGCCCCGCCGCCCCGCCCGCGCGGCTCATCAGCATGCACATTCCTCGCCGCCGCATTCCTGGGCTTAACCCCGCCGCTGCCGGGCCGCCGCGCGAGCCCGCGGCGGGGGAGGGGAGCCGGGAGCCGGGAGCCGGGGGCCAGGTGGGAGGGAGGAGGGAGGAAGGCGGGCGAAGGAATGCGCGGCTCCCTCCCTCCGCTCGACCCCACTCGTCTCCCTACGGCCGAACGCCCGGGGCTTTCAGTTTGGGGACCGGGAAGACTGCAAGAAAAAAGTCTCCTCCACCTCTCCAGCTCTTTCCGTCTTCTAGGGAAACCACAGGACTTTCGAGAGGAAAGGGGTGGGGGAGCTCTCCTCGGAGGAAAAGTCCCAGCAAGCAGGGAGGGCGCCGAGGCTCCCCCGCGCGGCGCCCGGAGCCCCTCGGAGCCCCGTGGCGGCTCGGGCCGCGCGAGAGTGTGAAAGCACCGAAAGCGCAGGAAGCGCGTCCGTGGCACGTCCAGGGCGGCGTCGCCAAGGGGCCTCTGCGGGGCGCCTGGTCCTGGGCGACCTCCGCGGGGACCGCGCGGCGGAAGGCGAAGGCGGGTCCGCGGTCCGAGGGCGCCGCAAGTCGCCGGCCCAGGGCCTGGCCTGGCCCCGAGAGGCGCCCGGGCCACCCCCGCCACGCGCGGGCCTGGGCGCGGAGACTCCGCCGCGTCGAGGCGCTCGGGCTGCGGTCCCGGCGGCCACAGAGGGCGCCCTGCTCCGGCCTGCCCTGCTGGGGTCGGGACGGCCGCACGCGGACGCGGCCGACTCCCGGGCCCTTCCGTCCAGCCGCCCGCCGGGAGGTGCCCCACCCGAGCCCCGCCGGGGCTGGGAGGTGCGGGCGGCCACGCTGCGGCGAGCCCACGCGGCCGGCCGGAGGCCACACTGTCCCAGGCCCCGGGTCCGCCCTGGACGGGACGCGGGTCGTCTCTCATTCCGCAAGCGTTTATTTATTCAGCAGCTACTACGTGCTGCTCGCCACTGAGGACGGCCGGACGTCGGGCTCCGGGCAGAACAATGCTCGGGGAAGCAGGACTGCCGGGGCCTGGACACAGCACTCGGAGTCCCCAGCCCTCAGCCCCCAAACTCCACTCCAACCAGGTCTACACCACCGTCCCCCATTCATATTCTTCCGGGTCACCCAGCAGCTTCTTTTAGAATACCAACATCCGCGGAAGGCCCTGGAGCTCAGTCATTCACCTCTGGGAGCGAACTCGCTCAACCCTGCTCCTGTGTAGTCACTCCCCACCTGGTGCAGGACTGAGCGCGGGCAGGGGCTCCGGGAGGCTTTGCGACGACCTCCGCGTCCCGTCCCGGATCCTCAGCCCCGCGCGGGAGTCGAGTGAACGGCGGGTCCCTGCGGTGCGGAGCTGGCGCTGCGCGGTTTAGGGAGCAGCTGCCCCGGGGCTGGGGACGACGTTCGGTTGCCCAGACCGTCGGGCCTGGCGGGCAACCTCCAAGGTGGAGGAGGGTGGGACTGAGGAGTAAGGGCGGAGGCTCAGGCCTGGAACAACTTCACGGAGGGGACTGGGCCTGCCTTCTGGGCCAAGGGTCCTAAAAGAGGGAAAAGGGGCCGCATTGCACCTGGAGCAATCTAAGCGGGGAGCGGAAACTTTAAACCACCACAAACTCTGGAGAACTAGGAGCACCTGGAGCTAGCAGCATTGGCTGGAGGTGGGAAAGGAAGGCACTCCACAAAGTCGCTCACTTTGATTGTCTGTCTAGGTCTTCCTCTTCTACACCCAGGCTTCTGGAAGCTAGGCTGTGCGCTTAGTGAAGCCCCCACCTCCGGATCTGCGTTCTGCCCCACTCCATTATCAGGAGGTGTTCACACAAGTCAAGCTTCGCCAGCTCCCAGTGGAATGAAACAAGGTTGGACTTTTGAATGCTGTGCAAAAGATGGGGCCTGTCTACAACTGATCTCTCACACTTCTGAGTGAACGTGCTTTGTTTTGCACTGCTGTAAGTTGGCCCACTTGCCTGGCCAAAATTTGCGTTGTGGTATATTAATAATATCATTCAGGACCCAAACCAAACCATTCTTAAACCTTGCTTCCTGGCTCCTCCCCACTCTCCCCCCCAAAAAACAATTTGAAAACATTTATTATACTAAAATGTCTACATCCTATTATTTAAAAAAAAAAAAAAGTAGCACGCTTTGCTGTGGCCATAATTTGTTTCACTGGGATGAACTACTGCACAATACTTCTCTGTGTAATTTCATACTTGATAAGATTTAAGCTAAGTATTGTTACCTAAATTCTAAAACCAATGAGAAATCCAAAATAGCATACAGCATTAAATAGCATTTGTTGTTCCATAAATCTTCAGACTTCAAAAAGAAACTCAAATAGACAAACAAAACTCTAAAACAATTAGGAGAGGAACTCTCTTCTTCTTTCCCACTGATTGGCACTGGAAACACTTGGTTATACAAAAGCAGTTAAAATGACAGAAAGGGGGTTGCTACTCTACAGCTTTTTTTGTTTTGATCAAGTTTGAACTCTGCCGTTATGAGTTCACACAGTTTACGTAGTAACATCCCTTTGGAGAATTCCTAATGGTCAAGACAATGAAATTTCATTTATATTCATATATGTAAAAAGAAAATAAATATAAAGATTATCTCCATTTTAGAGATGGTTACATTTAGATTTGATCTGGGCTCCAATTGATCTTGACAAAGAAAGATGGTGCTGTGCAGGATGCCAGATTACCCTAGCCTATGGAACCATGTACAAGCCACCAAAGAGTCTATTCTCTGGCCCTCAAAATTTTCTTTTCTCCTGGCTTTACATTTTCTGCAGTGCTAACAGTCTGTGGAAATGAGCCCCCATAAACAAAGCTCCCACATCAATGTCCAAATCCTAGGTGGCAGGAAAATTAGTGACATAAAAAATGGGAGTAGACAGTGAAAATTATTTCAAAAGGTAATTTTGTTATATCCAAATTGAAAATATACAGCCGGGCATGCCTGTAGTTCCAGCTACTTGGGAGGCTGAGGCAAGAAGATCACTTAAGGCCAGGAGTTTGAGACCAGCCTGAGCAACATATCAAGACCTTATCTCTACAAAAAAATCTAAAAATTAGCCAGGCGTGGTGGTGAGCACCTGTAGTCCCAGCTACTTGAGAGGCAGAAGGATCACTTAAGCCCAGCAAGTTTGAAGTTGCTGTCAGCTATGATAACACTATTGCACTCTTACCCACGCAACAGAGCTAGACCCAGTCTCTCTCTCTATATATATATATATATATTTATATATATGACTATTTAATATTTATGACTATTTAATATATATGACTATTTAATTTCCTCAAGATATGCAAGGATGCAATTAAAGGTTTTCCAATAAAACTTTTCAAAAAAAAATATGCAAGGATGTTCACTGCAGCTGTTTGATAATAACAAAACTGGAAAAACCACCAGTGGCCATCAGTAAAGGATTGATTAAATGAATTATGAATTACCCATAGTCAGCAGGCATTTTATTAATAAAAGCATTAGATAAATATAAAATATATGTGCTGATAGGGAAAGATCTCCATGATATGTAAAGTTTTTAAAAAAAAGCAAGGTACCAAAAGACACTTGCTGGCTAACTTCAGTGGAGTTAGAATCCAGTTCTGAAGGTGGGGCCTATCATAAAGTGTGAAGAACACAGTCCTCTATACACTTCCTTCATGTCAAAGGAAGAACACAGAGAGTAAAGGAAGGAAGTTTTTATAAAGGATGTGCACTGTCAGGGAGGTCCCATCAAAGAAGTATACATGAAGTAACTGATGATTAGGAAAAGGGTTGGGGAGAGATGAGCGCAGACGTGATGCTGAAATAGGCCTGGCAGGGCATGTTTGAGGAAAGAAATGGGTGTGCAAAGTTCAAAGACGAAGCTGGGGTGAAAGAGCCCAAGACTGGCTGGAGCCATCTAGTTGGGAGCCTGTCATGATAGTGTATGTATGAGACAGATAAGGTCTGGATTAGAAATAAGGCAGTGGAGGATGAAAGAAATGATTTGCCAAGAATTTGCTACTGATTAGATTAAGGAGAGAGAGGTGAATAGACCAGAAGGAGGAATCTGGGATGATTCCAAGATTTTAGGCTGTCGAAAGAGACTCAAAGAGCTGGAAAAAATGAGGAAGTCCAAAGGGGGATCTGATATGGGGTTTGATTTTAGAAATTAGAGATACCCAGTAGAAAGTTAAAGGTCAGGGCTAAAGCCTTAAACAAAAGGTCAGGACTGCACATACATGGTTAGAGAGAGCTGAGGATTCAGGACCGAATCCTGGAAAGGAAATGTCAATGCAAGTTGAATAGAATTTAACCAACCCATGTATACTCCTATTTTTTTTCCTATAGCTGTTCAATAATTTGATATGATTTTGTTTATTTCTTTGTAAAATGTGGTCTCCATTTTTAGTGATGTGCGTAAGAATTAGTTGCTAGTGTATAAACCATCTCTGAATGAATTATTGTTATAACCTTTATTGTTATGCTAGTGAATCAACTCTGTGTAGGACAAGATGAACTGGTTTTCAACATTTTAATACCCCTTGTTTCCTCAGGGAGATCAGGGATTATATAAACTGCAAATTCTACATAAAGAGAACATTCTTTTTGCTGAATCAAACCAGTGGCCTTTCTGGGAGGCTGGGGGTTGTCTTTGCAACTGAACTGGTTAAAATAAATAACATCTCTAATTATGGTGAATAGGTAACCCTAATCCACAATTCCTAAATTTTATTGTCTAGACAGTCCTTAAGAAGAAAGGCATGTGATCTTTAAAAATTCACAGTACTGGGCCAAACCAGAATCCTCGATAACCATAATCACTTCCCCTCCAGTTAATTATTATACCAACACCTTGGGCAAAAACAATCTTTCCAATTCAATAATAAGCAACATCAAACAAATTACGTTTCACCTTATTCACTGCAG